CTACAGAATGGGAAAAGATCTTCACCAACCCCACATCTGACAGAGGACTGATATCCAGAATATATAAGGAACTCAAGAAATTAGACATCAAAACGACCAACAGTCCAATTGAGAAATGGGCTACAGAACTAAACAGAATTCTCAACAGAGGAAACCCAAATGGCTGAAAGACATTTAAGGAATTCCTCAACATCCCTAATCATCAGGGAAATGCAAATCAAAACAACTCTGAGGGACCTAACATCTTTACACCTGTTTTGTACCAGGGTGTGAGGACCAGCGGGAGTCAGGGCTTTTCCCGGGGAGGTTGCTGTCTATTTACTTCTGTTTTGTTTTGAGATAGGGTCTCATTATGTAGACCAGGCTGGCCTGGAACGCGCTTTGTTCCTCTTTCTGCCTCCTAGTGCTGGGCCTAAAGGTGTGTGCACCACACCCAGCTGTTTCCAGTCTTCGATATCATTAGCATAATGTACAGTTGATAGCTAAAATTTGGTCGAAAGAACAGTAGGTGAGTGTGTGGTGTGAGTGTGTGGGCTCAGGGCACTGGTTATGATCATTTTTAGATCACTGTGCTAACTAATTTTATGTCAACCTGACACAAGCTACAGTCACTGGAGAGGAGGGAGAATTGAGAAAATGCTCCTTGAGATCTGGCTGTAGGCAAGCCTGTAGGGAATTTTCTTAATTAGTGATTGATGGGGGGGAGGGGCTGTAGGGAATTTTCTTAATTAGTGATTGATGGGGGGGGGGCACAGCCCATTGTGGGTGGTGCCATCCCTGGGCTGGGCTGGTCGTCCTGGATTCTATAAGAAAGTAGACTGAACAAGCCAGTCAGCAGCACCCCTCCATGGCCTCTGCAGCAGCCCCTGCCTCCAGGTTCCTGCCCTGTGTGAGTTCCCACCCTCACTGTTTTTGATGATGAACTGTTATATGGAACTGTGAGTGAAATTAACTCCTTTCCTCCCCAAGTTTATTTTGGTCATGGTGTTTCATCACAGCAGTAGTAACCCTAACTAAGACAGTCACTGATATTCTGACTAAAATACACAAATTAAAAGGAAGTAAACAGATTGAGTGAATTGTTTGCTTTCTCGGAGTTTTCTGAGATCTGTGCTATAAGCCGATGCCAAGTCTGCCATGAAGCTTTTAGCAGAAGCTTGTCGTTCCCTCTTAGCTCGCTGCCCTTGCTGCCTCTCAGTTGGAATTAAGCCATGCTCTGTAGTGTGTTAACTCTAACATGTTCATCAGCGTTTCCGCTGACACTTGGTAACAACCTGTGCTTTTTAGCCAGAAAGTGCACTGCAGTATAAGCAGATTGGTAAAGCGTGTTCAGTATCGGTCCGAGGGAGATTGATCTCCGCGGGTGGACGCTGTCTGTGCCCTGTACACGGTTGCTTTGCTGATCTGGTAACAGTTTCCTTCTGTGCTTTACAGGAGCTCAGGCCTGCGTGCTTGTATTCTCCACCACAGACAGGGACTCTTTTGAGGCCATTTCCAGCTGGAGAGAAAAAGTAGTAGCGGAAGTTGGAGATATACCAACTGTGCTTGTACAAAACAAGATTGATCTGCTGGACGATTCTTGTATCAAAAAGTAAGATGGCATGATTCTTGCACTCTGCCCCACACTCTTTCCTGTCCTGTGTGTCCTCTGTGTCTGTCCCCCAGCCCCCTGGCTTAAGTCTGCGTTAAAACGTTTCTCATACTGACTTATCCTGAAATTTTCTCTGTGTGGTGGACATAAAAAACTGTGGCCTCACCTGAAAAGAACTTGGCAGGTCGCCACAGTAGACGGGCTCGTGTGCCGTGGCTTTGAAGGTGGTGCACGCCTAGATCCCAGCACTCTGGAGGCTGAGGTGGGCGTAGCCCTGCACAGGAAGGCCCAATTTCAAAACAAAAGAAAAGAAAAGAAAACTTAAAAACGGGAAAGGAAGAGAGCAAAGCATCTCTTGATCTCTAGGTGTTTTCATGGTTATAGTAAGTAGATGTTCTGTGTCGATGGGTTAAGGGAAGTTTGGGTCCATATTCAGAACTTAATTAGCTTAATTTTAAAAATTTAAAAATGTGTGTGAGTGCTTCTGTGTGTGTATGAGAGAGAGACAGAGACAGAGAGAGGGAGACAGACAGACAGAGAGAGAGAGAGAGCGAGAGAGAGCCTGAGAGCCCCTCACGTGGAGAGAGACAGAGGGAGAGAGAGACAGAGACAGAGAGAGGGAGACAGAGAGAGAGAGAGAGAGAGAGAGCCCCTCATGTATAGGCCATGTTATTTGAACCAGGGTCTCCACATGAACATGGAGTCCACCACCAGCCTTTTTGAAAAACCAAAACAAAGCAGGCAACCAAGGCTAGCAGGTAGTGAGCCCCAGTGATCCCCCTGTCTCTGAGGCCACCAGTTCTAGACTTCCAGGTACAGAGGAGACCACATCCGGCTTCTTACTGTGGTCCTCATGGTGGTGCAGGGAGCCATCTCTCCATTCCCTCAAATTTCTTAGTTAATCATCCAGATAATTTTTACCTACACATAGCTATTCTTCATTATTAATAATATTTTGCTAGCTTTGTTTTGGTTTGGTTTGGTTTTGTTTTTTTGGGACAGGTCTGTGTAGCTTTGGAGCCTGTCCTGGAACTCACTCTGTAGCCCAGGCTAGCCTCGAACTCACAGAGATCCATCCCCCTGGCTCTGCCTCTCGAGTGCTGGGATTAAAGGCGTGCGCCACCACTGCCCGGCCTGTTTTGAGAACTTTTAAACACGTGCTTTATTTTTAATTTTTCTTTCTCTTGATCTCTTCCTGCTTTACTGTTTGAGAGTGTGTGTCTCTGTGGCCTAGGCTGCGTGTGCACATTCTCCACCCAGGTGGCCTTGTACATGCTGGGGCTGGGTTCATGTCCTGCACACGTCCACTCGAGCGAGTGGGTCTTGCTCACTGGGGGGCGGCCCTCTGTAGGGCTGCTCACATGTTCTCCATATTCTTACAACATGGCAGCCATTTCCTAGGGAGGAACCG